CCCCCCCCCCCCCCCCCAAAAAAAAAAAAGAAAAGAATCAAAAGATTTCTGTGCTTATTGGTTGATTAATGAAACACATAAATTCAGATTACATAAATTCAGATCGTGAATTTGGATAAAAACTGATCTCAATAAATTTGTTTTAGTGTGTCTCTAAATAGCCTCCTGATCTGTTTGACAACTCACTAGAATTACGAGTAGATCAATCTTGATCTAGTTTTTATGTGTATTTCACGGTTGGAAAAAGCAGATCTAATTCTATATAGTTTTTTATATGCTTTATCAGCCCTAAAAGTAAGCCGGGATGGGTCCTCACCACCGGTCATGGTTAAAGGGAAAAAAAAGATAAGACTGGTCTCGCTCTTATTTGATTGTCAAGCAGAGCCTTAGTTCGACGATTTCACGATTTGAACCTCATCTTTATTTAAACCTCTCATGATCTTGGTCAATAATCAAATAAGAGCCAATCCAGAAAAGAGTCAGTGGCCTGGAAAAAAACTAAAAAACCAGACAAATTTGAATCTATAATTCAAACTTGAATTAAAAAAACCACTATTAATTAGTTCCAAACAAAATTTAATCTAACATAGTCAAACTAAGTTTAACTTAGAACTAGTCCCTGAAAACCAATTTATGCTCATCCTGATCAAATTTAACTAAACCAGCAGTAATGTGGTTTAGTTAAACACATAAAATCAAGCATTGACGAAGATTTGAGTTGCGGTTTTACCTTTGGGGGGTCAATGAAAAGTCTCTTGCTTGCCGTCCCTTATTCTCACCACCGGTGACTGCATCTCGTCAAATCCATACATCTCCTCCTCAAACGGGCGAAAATTCGTTCAAACAGATAATCCTCCCGCCCAAACCTCTCCCAAACTTTCCCCATTCTCAACTCCAAACCCAGATCCCGATGCCGGAGCTCACCGCCGCCGGCGATTCAGCCACTCTCCCGCGCAAAATCGCCGGGATCCTAGACGAATGCCGCCTCTCTCACGCTATCCACGGTCGGAAGCTCAAAGAGCTCTCCTCTCTCCGTTCCTCAACCTCCCCTCGCCCTCGCTCCCTCTTCTTCTCGTCCTTCGTCAAAGCCCTAACCCCTCTCTTCGACTTCGCGAGGCGAACCGTTTCCTCGGAGAGAGTGGTTCGATTTGTTTCGGCTTTCGCCGCGAGGCGCGACGAGAAGGATGCTAGGGTTTCTGATGAGTTCCTGGAGGAATTTATAGGGTTTTTGTTGATGGCGGCGAGGGCGGGGCAAAGGAGCGCTAGGTTTAGGGCTTGCCAGATCGTATCGGAGGTAATTGTTAAGTTTTTCCTGGGCGCGTACTTCGTGGAATATTAGGTTTTTCCTTTATATTTTGGCAAATTGAGACTTCACCAAGTTGGTCTTTTGACGGAGTTTGTCAGTTGTGGAAGTGATTTTGAGGCAACTAAGCCATTAAGAAGAAGGAAATTTGTTCTCAAAAAATACTTTGAACAGAAGCTCTGCTCTACTAACGGTTTAGGGTTTTGATTTTGTTTAATTGGCCACTCTTAAATTCAGTTTAATTTGATGAGTTTGTTAATGTATATAACGCAGTTCACTATACTTAGAAGAACAGTTTGAAGATTATTTATGCCATGTTTTGCTAACTGAGGCCTTTCAAATGGGTCTTTTTATGGTGAGATTTCCTTTGAAGCGGGGTTTGCAGCACGATAATAATTGAAAGAAGGAAATTTGAGGCGAGAACAATTTCGCAGAAGAAGCCTCCTCTGCAAACTTTCCATCAGCGATTTTGTCCTTTTTTTAAAAAAAAATTGCCTCTTCAATAAAGTGGAGATATGGGCTGCTTTTGTGTGTTGAACCAGTTCATATTCACATGTAAAGAAAACATTATTTAGAACACATTACTTTAGTGACTTTAAGTCATTTCTCTCATCTGTATCATGAAGCATATGATGTACAGAGTTTTGAGAGCTTGTAAGTTCTTATTGGCTGTGGCCGTATACAGACAGTCTGCTAGTTTCAGGGGCTGGCAGATGTTTTGATGTTGATGAGAAATCGTACCACCAATATGTGCAAATTCTCTGCTTAAATTCTATAAGTTAAATAACTTTTGGTCTAGCAGCCAGTTTGTACCACTTCGATTGGAAATTTTGATCTTCTTGTATACAGCGGAATGTGTATTTAACATATTTAATACTCAGAGCTGAAACCCCCAACCACTTCCTTTTTTTTTTCGGGGGGGGGGGTGGCGGTGATCTTATTAGAAATGTATGATGAATTTGGTAGAATTGTGAACAATCTAATATAAAGTCGGGTCTTTATGAAGTTTTAAGGACAGTACCTGTCCAGTAGATCCACCCCTATCTCCATCTCTAACTGTATATATTCAGACGTAAGAAACTATTGAAGACAATGGAAACTTCATCTTCAAATTTGCAAATTGCACCTCTTAAATTTGTTTAGTTTAATGACCTTAGAAGAAATGGTGCACGTGTGAGGTTAAGATGCACGCACGAAGTTTCTTTCACAAGATGTTCCCTGGAATCATGGGGCCCTTAACAACATGTTTATTGGTAGTTCAGACAATTTTGAAAGCAATAGAAGTGAAAAAAAGCATGTGATACATGGTTGTTTTCCTTTATTCTAACCCTTTTACATTGGTTATACATTTATGTTATTGCAAATCAACAGCATCAAATTGGTCCAGCTTATTGGGTTTTAAGTATTCCTCTTTGTTAGAAGGGTCGATGAGAAATTCTATAAAATTATTATGCGTGTATCTGTTACTAAGTTACATGGCCACTTCCGATGCTATATCAATTTATTTCTTTTGATTGATATAAATAGTATGCTCTTGTGTAAGCAGCACAACATTTCTTTCACAAAGAACTATGAAAACACGTTATAGATATGATTATTTTTTGAACTGAAATTCTCTTTATTTGTCATAGAAGCTGGTCTTTTTGTTAAATCTCCCTATCTATGTTTTCACTAGTGCGCGACCTGACATCTAGAGTTAAGAAAGTTTAACTGTTTTGCCGTAGCTTGTTTTAATGATGATTTCTTTAATTTTCATTATCCCACGTATTACATGAATTTAAGTCATTTTGTCCATATCAGTAGTTCAATTGTGGCCATCATCTGTGCTTTTCTGAAATTTGACCTTTTTCTGTACAGACGCGTAAGCTATTTTGTTAAAATTATTACAGAGGTTGATTTGAAATTATTTTCTGTGTCAGATGCACATACAGTTCTGTTGAATCATGAAACCAGTATTATGATGATGCTTCTCCTCAATTGAGTGTTTTCCTATCGGGATTGATGGCCAGGTTTAAGTTCTTCTGGAAATGTTCCTGCTTATTTTGCGTTGTTTTGTGTTATTTGACATCGTAGGGCAGAGTTGATGTACTTGTTGCTCAAGTTAGTTTTATATCTAAGCATTGGAAACTGTCTATACCATATTTGTCGTATTTCGTCATATTTCTCTATCATGATTGAAACCTGTCTGTAGTAGTTATGTTACTATTTTCAGCATAATGCTTCTTATTATCATGAAGTTGTAAGACACAAGTCATAATCCAGTATTTTTTTCTTCATGTTCTTAATGTAAGCTACGAGATGAATATTTTGTATAATTGACCATTATTTATTGCAGCATATATAGAGAAATGTTCGGAACATTCTTAATGGAAATTTGAATATTTCCTTTTTAGTCATTTTGATAGTTTATTGCTGATAATATGTCAGTTTTTCTTGCACAGATTATAATGCGGTTGCCAGATGATGCGGAGGTAAGTAATGAGGTATGGGATGAAGTTATAGACAACATGAAGCAGAGAGTGGAGGATAAAGTCCCTGCAATACGTGGTTTTGCAGTGCGTGCCCTATCTCGCTTTGCAAATGACGTGGAGAACAGTGATATTATCAGTCTGTTTCTCCAGGTTTTGCCTGAAGAGTCAAATGCTGTAAGTTCTTTTCATAGTTTCTCATCACAATTTTCAGAGTCTTCATTTCCTATAAGTAATCGAAATATGTGTAGGAGGTGCGGAAAACTATAGTTTTATCATTGCCACCATCCAATGATACGGCAACAGCAATAGTTTCATCAATGCTTGACGTGAGTGATGCTGTTCGTAGAGCTGCATATTGCGTCCTGGCTAGTAAATTTCCACTTCAGAGTCTCAGGTACCTTCATGTTACCTTGTTGCTAAAGTTTTATGAAGCAATTTGTTTTCTAATTTATTTTAAAATTTCTGCATCAGTATTAAGCTTAGAACCACTGTTCTTCAGAGGGGGTTGTCAGATAGGTCCCTGTCAGTGACTAAGGAGTGTTTGAGGATGCTAAAGGATGAATGGCTTATGAAGTGTTGCGGTGGAGATCCCATCGCCCTCCTTAGGTTTCTGGATGTAGAAACATATGAAATAGTTGGAGAAACAATAATGGAAGTCATCTTAAAAGATGGCGTAGCGAGAGTGCAAGAAGGTCAAAGCATCAGACAATATTTGGCATCACGTGACAAAGGTGAAGGTAAATATTTTTTAATTTATAATGTTTTCTTTGGTTGTAGTGCTCTTTATGAATTATGATATTGTTTTCTCAGTTGAAAACCAGTACCAGCAAGCAGGATGTACACGCCACTTGCACACAGATGTACATGTTATTTACAGTTTTATACATTTGATACAGCTCCCATGTGTTTTATTGACAATATGGCATTACTGTTCGAACAACAAAAAGAGGAGGTTTAAGCTTTGGGGACAATACACTTGTTTACCGTTTTCCAATTTTATGTATCCTTTTGGGCTGAGTATAACAAACTGAATCCAGCAAGTATGCTCAGTATGATGTCTTTTTTATGCATATTTCAATAGTTAGTGCTTAGTGGGGTGAATCAGTTTTTGTCTAGTTCAGTTAGTAGAATACAATTATAGTACCTGTGAAAACGGCGAAGGAATTGTGAAAACGTGAAGAATACTCAAAACAGGCTCCACCACACCCCTGGTGATGGTGTCTGCCAATGGGTGTGGTAGTGTCTGTCCTGCACCACACCCTCTGCCACACCCACGGTGCAGGGTGTGGCAGAATCTGTCCTGCACCACTCCTGCACCACACCTCTGCCACACCATGGTGCAGGGTGTGGCAGACTCGTTTTTACGAATCCCTTATTTCG